GGTGTCATCAGCAAAGAAAAAGGGAGAAAGAGACGATAAAGCTGATAATTAAAATGAAGTCGATATGTTTAATTTATCGTGCGATTAATTGATTTATCGTTTATCGTGACAGGCCTAGTTATAACAAACATGTTATAACAAACACAAACACCCTGGGCGTTTCCTCCCTCAGCCTCTCCATTTGAGGCTCTGCAGGATTCCTGCTCTGTTTGGACAGATGAGATGAGAAAACTGAACGTCTGATTTTCTTTCCTCTTCTGATCGATCAACCAACAGGTGATCGAACTCATCACCTTCACAAGAACAAACAAGCAGCATCACTTTGTCATCCTGACATGTAGTAAAACAGACGGGTGTAATTACTGATTGCTCATCTGATGTCATCAGTTACAACAGTCATAATTCATAAAACTGATTTATAAAATTATTACTGGATGTTTTTGACCCCATCAGTTGAAAATAATGTAGAATAAAAACGTCTTGTGCGTCCTCTGGCTTATGATGAAATGGTTTATTGCATATTGTGATAATTTTACATAGGAGCACCAACATTACACTTTATTACATGTGAGGCTGTGCAGAGTATGAATGGTCTGAATGAACTGTCATCAGATATGGCAAAATAATAAAGAATTGATTTGATTGGAATATTTGTGCAATAATTATACAGTCTTGCAATTTTTAAATTAGGTAGTGTTGTAAGGCTTTTGTTTCATATCTAAAATTAAATGTGTATTTAAAATTTATATTATTTCATATGTTCTTCTTTTACTCAACAGTTATTTTGATTCAGATCCCAGCAGAGAATCATATAAAATGACCTTTAATAAACTTTTCTCTTTTAACTGGATTGGACTGAGAACGGGAAGCTAAACACGTCTTAGAGATCTTAACTTCTTAAAAATTAAATTCTTCCTTTTTATGTCTGTTTTATTCTGTCTGCTATCTTGTGACTGTTGATGTAATTCTGAAGGACTTTGGTCAACTATTGTTGTTTTGAAAGTTGCTATAGAAATAAATTTGACAGTTTTTTCTCTTCTGACAGAACAAGACTCTTAAAATGAACATGACGTCATTTCAGACTGAATCCCAACGAAACAGAGGAAGGACAGAGTGAGTGAAGCCCTCTAGTGGCTGCTGAGGAGTACTGCAGGTTTTAGTGGTTTAACAGGGAGTGAGGCCCTCTAGTGGCCGCTGTGCAGTACTGCAGGTTTTTGCACAGGGTTCTGGTGTTTCCTGTCACTGTGGGCTGCAGAGCGCAGTAGTACACAGCAGAGTCTGACGGACGGAGATCCTGGATCGTCAGGTTAAACTCTGAGTTGTTGACCTTCGCATCAAATCTGTCTTTGCTGAACTCTAGAGCTTCATCTCTCATTTTAGCATATTCTTTCAGCATGTACTTTGGGAAACTGTTTTCTTCTTGTTTATACCAGAGTAACGTAGGAGTTGTATCACTAGTCTGATAAGTACATCCCAGAGTCCGAGTTTCTCCTGCAGCAGCAACAACTTCTCTTTCTGTCTGCGTCACTGAGTCTCCTTTACACTCTGGGGAAGAACAGAACATACAGAGGAAGAGATGGATCAATAGAGATGATTGATTAAAGGAGAACAATCAGCAGCTTTCCAGACTTCTCCTCCATGTGGAGGAAACATGTTGATCTTTGTATCTTACCAGAGAAAAGAGCAGCCAGAATAATCCACAGCCAATGTTCCATCTGTCCAACAAGGTTTAAACCAGCAGGAGAAAGCAGCTGATGTTCAACATTCAGTCTGACTGTTGTTCTCTTCACAGCCAGCAGCAGCTCCAGTGTGCATGCCGCCCTGAGTAAGCACCGCCTTTGTTGAACTCCGCCCCACACACAAACACACACTCCTGCCTCAGGGCACGTTTATTCATTGTATTGATTCCCATTAATTTCTATAACTAATCTTGACATTTCCCCTCAGCTATTTGATTCCCATCTATTCCCAACGCCTGACTCAAAAATTATGTTTTATTGTGTGAAAATGGCAAAATCAAGATCAAGTCCTCCTAATGATAGCTAAACCAGCACACCCACACACACACACACACACACACACACAATTTGTTTCTCTATCTTTGCAGAAGCTTTACATTTCTTTCCAGCAAACTCTAAATTAACTCAGAAACATCACTTCCTGTGGTCAGGACTTACATCCTGACAAGTTGGTCCCCTCAACATAGTATGTTAGTGAAATGGTCCTTATTGTGCACCAATAAGGACCATTATTGGTCCTTACGCATGCACCAAAAACATACTTATGTACCAAAAAGACAGATTATCCAGTACTTAACATTATCTAAATTATTACGGCTGAACATTATTTTTTCCCATTTTCTAACTTATCAGAACCATTAAGGTTACTAATTTGTTTAATTTTAGGTCAACTAGATTCTTCCAAAGAGTGGATCTGGGTTTGCCTGTAACATTCCTCTGTGAGATGTGGAAGAGAAAAACACCTACAGGATGGCCAAGATTAATGAAAATAATTTTTTATTAAACACAAGCCCATTTTAGAGACAGGAGGAAACAAAGCCAACCAAGAGTTTCCCAAGGAGCTACAGTCTCTGCATCTCTTCATGGGGGTCCAGGCAGCATCCTCAGATCAGCATATGGCCTTTGTCATCATTTAAAAACTGATCTGCTGCTTGTTCATGAAGAACCTCATGGCTTAAATATTGGCTGTCTGATATTTCCCTGGAGAGAGACTCTGTGTTCTCCCAGGAATGAACTCATGATAAACCAAGGGTGTAACTCTGTGTTGCCAGTTGGTGGGACGAGGAGGAGCCGGGGGGCACTGATGCACCCACAGTTACTGGAAGGCCTTTTCTTTTTTAGTGCTAAGAATAAAGCCACAACTTACATGTGAATGCCAGACTGTGTTATTCAATAACACAGTCTGGCATTCACATGTCCCCACCAACATGGGGACATGTCCACCCCAGTCCTTCACATGTGATAAACTACTAAAATATTGCCAGCATGCTGATAAGCTGCAGTCAGGTGTGACTGCCAGGCCCCAGGTAGGAGTCCTGCCTGGGGTCTGAGATAGTAAACATGTTCCTACTTAATTTTAATGTTTGTCCATCAGATAACAAACAGGACTTTTAAAAATTCTTACTTTTGAAAAGATTTCAGGTGTTAAATTTCTTTCCAGGCTTTAGTTAGCATATAAAAGCAAACTGTCTGTCTATGGCAGTTTTTAAAAGCTGGTCCTGGCAGGGGCCCAAAGTGCCAGACATGGTGGTCCAACCAATCCCCAGGTTGGGTTTTGGTACCAAAGCACTGAGAGCTGGGAATGTAACTCCAAAGTAACGACACTGGCACAGCTTCCTTTAGACGGGCTCTTCTTTAAACACCGTGAAAACTAGAAATAAAAGACAAAACTTTAGGTATAGATACATTTACAGACTGGTGACACGAGCTTTAACAAAAGTTGCACCGTGGCCGCCTGCCACTTTGGAGGTCTTTGAGAAACAAACTTTGTCTTGTCCACACTAAATTAAAATATAAAGTAATTTAAACACCATAACTGATAAATTCACAAAATATTACAAACATAATTACAAAATACATGGCCAGCTACAAGAGACAGGAGGCAGCTCTACGTAGCTCTGTTCCAGGCTCCAGTTCATTCTGCTTACTCAAATCTCACAGCCTATCGTCTACATGCAAATCTGGCCATAACAAAAATAGTTTGAGATGGAATAAAATACAATCATTTTACACAAATCTCAAAGTGAACCAAATAACTTAAAATGCATTGTCCTAACTGTTAGAAATAAACATACATTTTCAAAATAAATTAATTATTTTATTGACAATTACAAGGAGCATGGAAAGAGCCAGAGACATTCTGTTCTCTGAGGTCCAGATGGAGATGCCACGCAGGTAAACAGCAGCACCTTTATGGCATCAGGGCTGCAATTAATAAAACTCTGATGGTTATAAAATATGTACCTGATCCAGTGATCAATAATGAAAATATGTCATAGAAATAGTTATGCAAATGTCATCCAGTTAGACCGACTTTTATCTGATGGATTGTTTTCTCTCTGTTCAGTTTTTTTATTGCCACATAAACAATCAGACTGAAAACTAAACCATAGAAGCAGAGCAGTGAGAGAGGCCCTCTAGTGGCTGCTGTGGAGTACTGCAGGTTTTAGTGGTTTAACAGGGAGTGAGGCCCTCTAGTGGCTGCTGTGGAGTACTGCAGGTTTTAGTGGTTTAACAGGGAGTGAGGCCCTCTAGTGGCTGCTGTGGAGTACTGCAGGTTTTAGTGGTTTAACAGGGAGTGAGGCCCTCTAGTGGCTGCTGTGGAGAACTGCAGGTTTTA